AATAACGAGATAAATAATTTGTTCACTTAAATGTAAATTATTTCACTTTCCTCCTTCCGTAGAACAAATTAGCCTCGCAGAATCCATCAATATGTCATTTATCACCTGTGACGCGACGCGAAAGTTTATTGCATCTTTTCGGCGCAGAAGCTAAGTTAAGCTTGGTTCAAAATATTTTAAATAAACATTATAATTTCTGATTTTCTTAAAATAAGTTTTGAAAAAATGATAATTGATATTTAAAAGAATTTCAAAGTCAGATTTCCAGTATTTTTAAAAAATGGAAAAAAATGGTCAATTTTGCTGACTCAAAAAAAAAGATTTTTAACGAAAATTTCAGACGTGCTAGGGACGTTTAAAAAATGTAAAAAAATACTCCCAAAATACTTTGATCTTTCCCCTTAATAATAACATAAACATTTAGACGATAAAATTTTGTTTTCATCAAGTTTGCCGTCTTTTTCATCATGCTATGTTCTTTTTTTAGCAATCTCGTGGAGGTACCTATCTTAAGTCTTTTAGTTGCATAGAAATGTAATATACTAATGTACTGTAATGACTATTTCACTGACTCTAAATATGAATCATCTATAGCTCTTCTAACTTACCTTAAACACAGACTACTGAATGGATCTCTACATATGGATACTTAAAAGTTCTTGCCATTCTGAACCAAAAATCTGATGTCTGGTCAGATTTTAAGGAATGACCGAGTCTGAGAACTTTTCAGCACCCCCTTTATATATCTGCATGCATAGGTGTTGAGGCAGGCTCAGTGAAATACAAAAGAATCCATAAAGGTGGTGACAGTTAAACATTCTTTAGAAATCCTCACTTTCGTTGTACATATTAGATCTATTCTCAATGCCACTGTACTCTGAACATACTTGCAAAATCTATGCCATTATAATAATAATTATAGACTAATATTACATCATTTACAAACCATAAAAGTGTTTGAGATGTGAGACAAGGAGAAGGGAGTGCTCTCACCTGGCGGAAATTTCTCTGAGCAGCTGCTGTCCGTGCTAGGCCCCGCAGGGCTTCAGCTTCTCCAAGTCGACAACCAATTTCAGCCATGATTGACTGGGCACATTCAAAACGAGGAACTGACCGCTAAAAAAAAAAAAAAAACAGAAGAAAATGAATACAAAGCATAAAAAATTAAATAACTACACAAAGATTTTCCAGAATAATTTTGATAAATATCTGAATTCAATAGGAAAGCTGCTTTTGCAAAATGTATTTTAATTTAGTATAAATTCAAATGACCGACACCCCCCCCGCCCGCCAAAAAAAATGTTTTATTTCTTTGTTAACATTTCACTCCTTTCCAGTGCACATTATCAAAATAGAACTGAAAAAAAAAAAAACATCTAAGGAAAAGTCATTACCATGACAACCTTGCTACTTAAAAAAGCTCTGGTCAATTTGAACATTTTATACAGTCAATAAAATTGAAAAATACATGGTACATTCAAAAAGATCTGAGACATTTTCAGGAGAGACATTTATTAATTTTGAAGATGCACCTGTTGTAGCAAAACCATCCACTTCATGAAGGCCCTATGGATGTCATCCAAAGTGAAGGTCCCCGGGACCTTTGTCACAGCCACTTTAATCTTTAAAATGACTGCCCCAAAGGTTCACCTTCAGGTTGAGTAACACCCAAAAGTCACAGGGAGCAAGGTTTGGATTGTTGTGAGGGTGAGGGACAGTTTTGATGTACATCTCTGTCATTTACTTGGTTACTAGGACAGGATTCTGGACTGGTCCATTTTCCAGGTGTGGGTGCCACCATCCCAACTGAAAAAGAGCTCTGGACTTTTGAGATGAAATCACTTTCTGAATGCCTTCAAAACTTCCACAAACTACTCTTTGTTGACCGTCTGGCCAGAGAGAACTGAGTGAATGTAGATGAGGTTTGTGTTGTCAAAAAAAGGGGAACATCCTGAGTTTTTTGGTGGACTTGCTTTGCCTGACTTTCCATTGGACATTCTATCACTTGATCTCTGGATCATAACACTAGAATCAGCTTTCATCACAGTTCAACAGAGACTCAAGTACTCTTGGAGTGGGAGTAATGACCATCAACCACCCTGCTGCTGTCACCAATGTGTATTTCATTCTGTTCATCAATGAGCACCTTGGAAACAAACTTTACACAAATTTTGGGGATGTTCATATCTTAGATCTTCAGATATTTATTGTCTTTTTGTACACACAACAATCTTCATTCAGAAATTCTAAATATTCTTGACCCGCTCTTATGTTCTGACATCCTCCTACTTTTCTACTTCTGACATCTTTCATCAAATCTCACTTCCTCTCTACCATCCTTGAACTTCTTGTAAAATAGATACTCGGCTCATACAAGTTAATCCATAAGCAGTTTCAAGCAACTTATAAATTTTTCTGTAGCATTTTCACTCTGTTTAACACACAACTTTATTGCATAGCAAGTTTAATATAATCTTGGACAATTATTACTGCCTCTCCTAAAATAAGTCTCAAAACTTCTTCTGAAATGCATATTGTGTCTCCATGAACAAATCAGTGAAATTTGTAAATCTTTACATAGAAAATATCTGAAATTAAATGTAAATAGGATGATCTGATATGGGAAAATAAAATGAATGAAAGAAAATTATATTGTAAAATATAGATGAATGAATGATATAATATATATATATATATGAATGATATAAATCTGAATGATATACAGTAGAATCCCTCATATCCGGAATCCCTCATATCCGGAATCCTGCATATCCAAACATGATTTTAATGTGTATATTTGAACAATTTGGGTGATATGTAACTGATTTTAAATTTGTGTTTTTCAGGAAATTTGTGGTGGAGTTGGGTATGCAATGGTTGAAAAACTACTTTCCCATGGACAAAATGATTATCTGTATGAGGTAAATCATTTGGATCTCATTAATTGTAAGTCACTTATGTGCTCTATAATTAAAATTATATTGAGCTCAGTTTTGTGAATCAGTTTTAATATTTTATATTAATAGGATCTACTTGGATTACTTAACCATGGATATTTTTTATTTTATATATATATATATATATATATATATATATATATATGGGCAGAGATGGAGCATAGGCAAAATTATTGTAAGCAAAATTATCATGGTTTATGGTATTATTATGGTATTTGTAGAATGTGGTGATAAAGTGAAAAAAATACTGATATACAGTATAGATGTTGAAATAAATTAATAGCACTGAGCACTTTTGCTAATGATAATAATGAAAATTTTAAACAATATTAATAAATGTCAATAATTTTATTAAGGTCTGTTGTAATGCCCATCACCAATGTATCTCTAATACACACACACACACACACACACACACACACACACACACACACACACACACACACACACACACACATACAGATAACCTTTAACCTATGCCTAATTTCCTTTGGTAAAATTTCATAAAAAATATCCATGAGGACTCATTATGAAGAAATAAGGCTTGGAGAATTTGACACTCACAGGACAATATTGAAGGCAACAAAGACAAAGGAAAACACCAAGTAACCTACCAAATTGTGGAATTAGTTGCCAGAAGAGAGAGTGGGAGGGATGATGAAAAGACAAACTTTATTGGTTAAAAATATGATGAAAAATTTTACTGTTAAAAAATATGCAGTAATAATAACGAAAAAATTACAAAAAAAAATGGTAAAAGACAGTTGCTGGGACATTAGGTTTATAAGTCCCAGAAATTCATACACACTCAAGGACACATGGTCCAGTGGATAAAGACGTTGGTTAGACCCAGTAACTAGACCCAAAAGAGTTGTGAATTCAATATCAGGCTACATGAGTGGTGAATCAAAAAACTTGGAGAGTTGAGTTAAAGGAAAATAACTGAGACATCCAGAAGAGGCATGGCACGTGGAACTAGAACAATCTACCCCAGTGGATGAAATAAAGGGTTCCAATCCTTGAAATTCCAATCACCTGAAAAACATTGTGAATATGAGGATAACAGTTCAAAGGAAGATGTGGATAGCCATGATCAACAACGTCCTGAATGCCAAAGAAGAACAAAAATGTATATACAAAAATAAAGTTTGGTTTCCTGTCAGAAAGCTACTTATGTGTTTATTATTTCATAAAATGTTACTATAAGCTTAGAGAGGTTATTTAGTACATACTGACAAACACCAAATAATTTTTTTTAGAAAAAAAAAGCAAATTTATAAAGTAGTTTTGACTTTGAGAGTTATTTTAGGTAAATCCATTTCAAAAAACAGAATCTGAAAAATTTACTTACATCAATATCATTGTTCACTCGATGGATTTTGGCAAAAGTCAAAAGGCACCGGCCTTGTAAAGAACGGTCTCCATGTTTGATGGCAAGTCTCATGGCCTCCTGGAAATGGAACGAAAATTATAGAATAATCAAGAAAAATTTTAGGTTTTGATTATGAAGATACGGGCATTTTTGAAGGCTTAGAATAACAAAAAAGAAAGGGAAAAAGTTAATACAGATAATGAGAAACTGAGATAGATAGATAGATAGATAGATAGATAGATAGATAGATAGATAGATAGATAGATATGAACAGACTGAGATAGACAGATAGATGGATAGATATGAGCAAACTGAGATAGGTTGATAAATAAAGAGATATGAATAGACTAAGATAGATATAAATAGACTGAAATAGATAGATAGATAGATAGATATGAATAGATAGAGATAGATAGATAGATAGATAGATAGATAGATAGATAGATAGATAAAAAGACTAAGGGAGGGAGAGAGAGAAAGAGATATGAATATAAATAAAGAGAGACTAAAATATGTAGTCTGTTAAAAATAGATATGAACTTATATGTTAAATATAAATAAAGAAAACAATGACAATAATTGGTATGTCTATTATTTATTTTATTTTATAATATCTCTCTTTCAGTCTGTTTATAGTTATATCTATTTATCTATCTTTTCTTATTGCACTCATGACTATCTATTTATCTATCTCCTGCAATCTCTTTATATCTATCTATTCTATCTATCTATCTATCTATCTATCTATCTATCTATCTATCTATCTATCTCAACCTGTAACTAACAGAAAATAAAACAATGAAAACCAGAAGAGAAAAAAAAAAAAATTGTTCACATTTTTCTGTGGTTTTCTTCTGAACAATTTTCAAACCCTTTTCCAAACATTTTCTCCTCATTCCTCCTGTGAATCCAGGCATAAGCTATCTGCCGTACATATGTACAATGGAATTTGCTTATATGGAGGGGGCAAGTGCTTCATTTTTATGAACAAGATTACCTGGTGTTGGTATTTTACAGGAGAATAGCATGAAAGCTTTCATCTGATGAGAGTATAATTACTTTTTTGCATGAATCCCAAAAAGCAAAAACCATATTTAAAAAGAATTCTATGAAGATTTATGTCTCCCTCTCTTTCTCTCTCTCTCTCTCTCTCTCTCTCTCTCACACACACACACACACACACATATATATATATGTGTGTGTGTGTGTGTGTATATATATATATATATATATATATATATATATATATATATATATATATATATTGCACTTATATTACTGGTTTTAACAAAACAGTGCTTAATGTAATAAAACAGGATATTAAGTATATATTAATAAATATACATATTATCCTTCAACAATACAATCTTCAGATGCTGAACAGTTATGTAATTTATTTAATTTAAATTTTAATAAATATATCTGGTTATCAAAATGTTGCCACATGTTATCAAAATGTTGCCATATTACAGTTTTTTAAGTTTAAAAAATATGTATTTGGTATTTAAAATAAATGGAATTGATAATTCTGTATTCTAATGTCACAATAAACTGGAAAACCATTGGGAGTTTCATTTCTACCATCATTGAATGACTTTAGGAAATATAAAAAATATACACAGTACTGCTCTCTCTAAACACTTCTCATATATATATATATATATATATATATATATATATATATATATATATATATATATGCACTGTTGCATTAGAACCCCATGATTTCCCACCTGATGAAACGTTAAATTTTTTTTTAACATTGAAACAAGATGTAGAGTTTTGTAGTCTGTATTTACATGTTCTAATGTAACACTGCATAATAAATAAATATTTATTGCTCTGCTTTTTATTGAGCCCTGTTTTAAATTAATGTTTTGAATGCTGAAATCTTACGTTTCGTTTCTTTTACATTTCGATATATATATATATATATATATATATATATATATATATATATATATATATAAATGATAAAAATATAGCTTTATGGTATGTTGTGGGTAAAAGCACTCAGTATCTGGGATCTGTAACTATAAGAGTGGACACTGATGTTAAGTGTGGTGATAATCTGTTTCATGCTTGAACGCAATCATCTAACATGAAGCAGACTGTCACCATTTGGTTTTGACCTCAGCATACACTATGATATATATATATAATATATATATATATATATATATATATAAAAGAAAATATAGTGGTTCCAAAAGAAAAGTATGTATATTAAAAAAAAGGGGTGCCGCAAACGTTTTTTGGTTGTAATGTGGATTTATTGAGAAAAATATTATACTTTGTTTTACATAATTTTAATTTTATAAAATTATGTAAAACAAAGTTTTTTTTAATTTTATAAAATTATGTAAAACAAAGTATAATATTTTTTTCTCAATAAATCCACATTAAACCAAAACGTTTATGGCACTCCCATCTTCTTTAATATATATATATATATATATATATATATAGAGAGAGAGAGAGAGAGAGAAAGAGAAGGTGTATCAAAAATACTTTTACAAACATTTGGGGTTGGTTCCTCACACCAAAACAAGGACAAAATTTCCTACAAACATGTCCACAAATCCTTTTGTTTTTGAGTGATTGATTACAAAGAAAGTTTATGATAGATGGTGTTGTGTTGCCTTGAAGACTATGTTACATTTTGTCATTTGTGCACTTTTGTGGCTAGTCCGTTATCAATGTTTAATGTGTTAGTAATGAGTTAACTGAGAAGTGTTCTGTTTAACAATGGCAGGATATTGATATCGTGAGCAGGCACATATTATTTTTATATGCGTTAATGGACACAAGGATGCATGGTTGTATCAGATTGCATTTCCAGATCAAATGCAGCCAAGTTATCCAACCTTTGATGCTGTTGTCACATTACTGAGACAGGGTTTTTGGCACCACAACTTATGGATCAAGGAAGACCAATTGTCCATTTAACAGCATCTACTGTAAACTTTAAACTTAATAACTCAAAAATGAAGGATTTGCAGACATGTTTAGATGAACTTTTGTCCTTGTTTTGGTGTGATGAAACCATCCCCAAATTTTGTAAATATAGTTTTGATACACCCTGTTCATATATTAACAAGCTCTTTTGAAAGTCTTTAAAATTGAGTAACTTATATACATAAGAAAAGGAATGTATAAATAATATATATATATCTATATAATTACTTAGTTGAAATGTAATGTAATATCAATAATATTCTGTTTATTGTTATTTCTTGCATACAGTGCTCAATATCCTGAAGATAAAGTCACATTTCATGCAAGATTATATTTTGAAGATGATACTAAAACTTTGACAAAGATATGCATTACTAAATGTTTCACAGTAAAATCAACCACACACTATAATAGAATAGGCTTTAATAGAATTTGTCAGATTGTCACACACAATCCCAGCACCTAGAAAGTCAACCCTTGAACATTTGTGTTAACTTACTCAAGATTAAATGCACAGATAATAAAACAGGATTAAAATATCACAGATACAAATCAACAAGTGTCTAAGATCAAGAATACTCAAAGCCTGTTTTAATAAACTGATTAATATAACCTCCATGGGCATTAACATAAACCTGTACTCTTGGATACAGGTAGAGATAATCAAGGAAGTACTTTACAAGAGTTGAAGGTAACTAAACTGAATAAGTTAAGGATAATCCCATTATATTCAATGGGGAATAGGTTTAATGATTATGCCAAATATATTAAATAGCACAGGCATATTGTGGGCAGGCATTATCCTTCTGAAAAAAAATCACATTGCCTTTCTGTTCCATAAATGTCAATATAACAGGTTGAACAATGTTCTGTAAGTAAAGGATAGTGTTTAATTTTGCCTCCACACACACCAAATGGCAATAGTTAAAACTGATGGCATCCCTCACCATGATGCTGGGAGTTGTATGTATCAATAAAGTTTGGAAATATGTTCCTCTCTTGATCTACATTGCAAATATGCAAAGGACTTCACTTGCATAAAGGTAAGACCTGCTTTGATCATTTAACACAAAGTACACCATTCAATTTCCTAGGTGAAACCTTTTGTAATGCCAAGGGAGACATGCACAGCAGCTTTGTAGGGTAGAGGCCTAGATGCTTGTATTCCTGCTGCAAGTAAACAATTCCCAACAGTTTGTGCTGCAACTTCAAGAGCTATATTCTCTCTGAATTGTGCTCTGGGTGCCATTTGGTCCGCTACACTTACAATGTGTCAATTTTGATGAATGTTTATAATACATTGCCATCCAGAACCTGGTCTACAGATGTTACAAACATCAAAAGATCCCCAACAAGTTACAAACAACAGATGGCGCACTTATATAAGTAAAGTATACCTAAAATTTTGAAAACTGGAAAAGAATATCTGTTCTCCTTCATATTGTATCCAGGTCAAAATTAATGTCAAGGTGTTGCAATGTTGTAATTTTATTTTCTGCCAGTTCACACACACACACACACACACACATACACACACATAAGCATACATATACACAGGATGTGATGGATAATTTGTCATCTAAATTATGAAAAAATGAAAATAACACTGACATCTCATTTTTACCAGATATATTTACAAAAATTTCTTGAAATACAAAAGAGTAAATTTATTCAATAAAATTGACATTGGCTTCAACCACGACCACCAGATAACTTTGAAATCTCCTGAATCTCTTCTGGATTGTCTCCTTGTTTAAGTTGGCAAATGCTGCCATAATCCTTGCCTTCAGTTCATCTTTGGGATTACAAGGAGTTCATATTTGGTGTTATAAGGAATTTTGTTTGCCTCTCGCTGAACTGTGTCCCATACATAAAATCAAGTTTGTTGCAGTCTGGGGAGTTAGGTGGACAGATGTAAGTAGTGATATGGTTGCAGAAATTGTCTGACAGCCATGACTGAGTTCTCCTGCTTATGTGGTATGGTGCTGTTGCCAGCCATAGTGTCTTTCTGCAGCCACCCACTTGATGCAGGGCAGCACTATCTTCTCAAGGCACTTTTTTAGACCTCTGTGTTTTGCCTGAAGCTCTCACTAACAAATTCAGGAGTTCTTTTCTTATCAATGCTGTATCTTAGTAATCATCATTAGACTCTACCAACTCTTTCTGAATCCTGTGCACTGTCCCCAGATTGACATCAAAATACTCTGAAATGTTCGTATAGGAGCTTCCAGCAAAATAACAAGCAGTACATCATGCCATTTCCAAATTTTTGGTGGAGTGAATTGCACATGGTGCTCTTTTTCTCACAGTCAGTGACCAACTGACCCTACTATACTGTGTAGTCGACAAAATAAAAAAAAACAAACAAGGCGCATGTGCGGAATTAGAACTATAAACTTGCGACAATTTACACATCACACTCTGTATATATATATATATATATATATATATATATATTTTTTTTTTCATTCCACTCACATTTCCATGAGTTTCAAACTGAATACCATGAAATTATATAGAATGCTTAAGTGTGTGATTATGTGTTGTAACCTAGGGAAGGTTACTGAACAGAATAATCACATGAAGATTGGTAATGAACGATAATACTTAGGACATGAACAACACATATATGATTCACCAGCATGTGTAGAAGAAGTAGTCAACTGCTTGAAGTGAGTCAAGTGAATTCCACAATGGATCTCCAACTGCAGGATATCTATGAACTGCCCCTACACGGTCAGATGCAGCACAAGGTTGAATTTAACGTGGGATATCCGTACCCATAGACTCAGCCAAAAATTCCCCGTAGACCCTGTATAAAACAGGGTTTGATAGCTGTTTCCAGAGACAAGACTCTGCCCTTCCACATAGCCTCATCTGGGGATCCTCTCTGCCCAGAGGCAGAGAACTTAACCAACACAGCTGGAGATGAATCAAACCAACATACAGTATTTACTACTGTATTTATGTGAATGGAGACATACCCATTATCATGCGTAGGTATACTATAACATTATGTGTATATATATTTACGTGTGTGTGTGTGTGTATTTCTGTATTTGTATGAATTCTATCTTTTTGCCTCAATAAAGTCCAATAATTCAATCTTCAGTCTCATAAAAGTGCAGTCAGGTATTTTTCTTGCACAGATGTTGTCAGCCTCTTCTGACTTGCAGAAACTATCGAATTGCCACACATCATTTCCAAGAGATGACATGGGACCTTAATGATCTATAAAAGTCAAGTTAAATCAGAGATATCTCTTCTTTTTTCACCACTTGTACAATATAACACAGTAATCTTCCTTAAAGATGATCGCCATCACATAACCTGCATGTGTCATTAAGATATGCTACCCGGAATCCAGTAATGGTGCCTCAAAGATATTGTAGATTATCAGACACACTAGCCAATTCCAATAATTGAAAAAAATCTGACATTTTGTGATGAATGCTAATAAAATATTTTGTGAAGGATGTGAATAAAATTTGAAATATTAATCAACTCAAAGATACTTTCTCATTTGTGACTTTAATATGTTTTTCTGGTTCATTTCTGTCATTTAAATTGTTCAACTGTGATTAACATTGAATCAACTTCATGTCACATCTTTCTTAACAAATGTTACATAAACTAAAATTCTGTTTTCAAATTTCATGTTTCAATTGGTGAGAAACAATTTTTTATTTAATTTTCTTTTTTTGACAAATTTAAAATATCTATTTATGAATTAATAAGTGTAATTTTTTTATTTATTTTAAATATAATTTTTTATTAATTCAAATAATGGCAATCAAATTAACATTCAATTTCAGGTCTTGATTAGTATTGATATGCTTTTAACACACCTGTCTTCCTTTTAACATTCTGACATGGTTTTACCACACCTATCTTCATTTTAATGAACTGTTTTTGTTTTTAATACACCCGTCTTAATTCCACAAACTGATACAGTTTTAACACACCTGTTTGAATTTAATTATTGATATAGTTTCACCACGGCTGTTTTAATTTCAACAAACTAACATCGTTTAACCATACCTGCCTTAATTTAAACAAATTGGTATTATTTTTAACCTAGATTTTATAGCATTATTGAATTTACTTATTTTTAACACACTTGTCTTCATATTTATTTTTTAAAAATGAAAAATAAAAAAAAACATTCTTTGAAAATCCAGTTAATATCAGTATCCATAACAAAATCTTATCCAATCAAATTTATTGAGTTCTTCCTCCTGAGTAAAATGACATCATCACATAATGATGTCATATAAATATCTAACGATGTTATTTTGATGCCATCACCTGTGTCAGAGAGAGAGAGAGAGAGAGAGAGAGAGATTGTGATGAGGAGTAAGAAAGAAAAAAGGGGAAAATGATATATATTATGATCTATGTCAGTGGGGTGTAAGATCAGTCCAGGTGCAAAACAAGAAATGTTTATGATGTTTCATCTGTTTATTTCATTGTGTTTCATGATTAAAGACGACTATGGCATAAAGACAGTTGTTGATAGAATACTCTTTAGCAATCTACAATTTATTCCCTCTTTTAAAATCTTCTTCATTTTCTTTCTTTTCTTTCTTCTTTGATTTTTCCTTCCTTCCCCTTTTTTTATCACTCTTTCATTTTCAACTCTTTCTCTTTCTATCGCTTCACTTTCTTTACTTGACTTATTTTTTCTCTCTTCCTTCCTTCATTCCTTATTTTCTTTTCTTTTCTTGCTCCTTTACTTATTATGCATTCTCTTCTTTACTCTCTCCCTCTCCGTTCACTTTTTATCTCCCCCCTCTATCTCTCACTCTCAGTCTTTTTCTGTCAACTTTTTTACTTTCAATATTTCCTTTCATTCTTTCTCATATTTTATTTATATCTCTTTTTTTTCTCTCTTTCATTTTTTTCTGTTTCTTGCCTTCTTTCTTTCTCTTTATTTCCTCTTGCATATATTTTACTTTCCTTCTCAATTCTTTTTTATTAGTTTTATTTATTGGATTCCTTCTTTTTCTCTATCTTTTTTTTTTTACTCTGTGTCATTTTTCAGGTTTTCTTTTTTCTTTTTCAACTTTCAGATTCTTTCTTTCTTTCTTTCTTTCTTTCTTTCTTTCTTTCTTACTTTCTGTCTTTCTTTTCAGCTTTCAGATTCTTTCTTTCTTTCTTTCCTCCTTCCTTTATCTTTCTTTCTTTTCAGCTTTCAGATTCTTTCTTTCTTCTTCTTTCTTTCTTTCTGTTCAGCTTTCAGATTCTTTCTTTCTTCCTTCCTTCTTTTTTCTTTCTTTCTTTTCAACTTCCAGATTTTTTCTTTCTTTCTTTTTCTCTTTCTTTCTTTTTAGCTTTTAGATTCTTTCTTTCTTTTTTTCTTTCTTTCTTTTCAGCTTTCAGATTCTTTCTTTCCTTCTTCCTTCCTTTCTTTTCAGCTTTCAGATTCTTTCTTTCTTCCTTCCTTCCTTTTTCTTTCTTTCTTTCTTTCTTTTCAGCTTTCAGATTCTTTCTTTCTTTTTCTTTCTTTCTTTCCTTCTTTTCAGCTTTCAGATTCTTTCTGTCCTTCTTCCTTCCTTTTTCTTTCTTTCTTTCTTTTCAGCTTTCAGATTCTTTCTTTCTTTCTTTCTTCCTTCCTTCCTTCCATTTTCTTTCTTTCTTTTCAGCTTTCAGATTCTTTTTTCTCTTTTTCTTTTCTGCTTCCTCTTTTCTTTCTCTTCCCCCCTCTCTTCTAATTGATATTACTTAAAAAGAAATTTTAAGTGATTAATATTTTCCGATCATTCTTCTTTCACAGGTTACCAACATCCCCAAAACCTCTATCTTAAACCTAACCCACACCCATTGTCCTGATAATACAAGCTACCAGTCTCCTCATATCTCCCCACCATCAGTCCCCCAACCTTTCTCTCCAACCAATTATAGGAAATGAAGATCAGCTTACATGAAAAATGTTTGACTGGCAAAAATAAGATGCCATGGAGTTTTGTATGACTGAGTGTTGGATTTACTGAAGTCATTCCAGCCAACAATTTTGCTTCAGGAATCTTTTTTCTTGAGCTCATTCAACTTTGTCATTTCCTTTTTCCTTTTTTTCTCTTTTCCCAAATTTTCATGCTTATTCTTTTCCTAAATTCTTCTTCTGATTATTTTTCTAATCATTCATTCCTTTTCATTTTTTAAAATTTCTAATTATCAAGTTGTTTTTTCCAACGTTTTTTACTTCATCTATTTTCCTTCTTTTGCCATATTTTTTCCCTTTTCTCTCTTGTCTGCCTTCTCCTCCTTCCTTTTCTTTTCCTCCTCTTCTCTCCTCCTCCTCCTTCTTCTTCAATCTGCTCTTTATCCCCTTCTCCTTCTTATCACCCACCTCCTTCTTCTCCTCCACCTCCTTCTCCATCTTCAATCCGCTCTTTATCCCCTGCTCCTTTTTACCATCCACCTTCTTCTTCTTCTCCTCCTCCATCTTCAATCTGCTCTGTATCCCCTCCTCTTCCTTATCATCCACCTCCTTCACCTTCTCCTCCTTCTCCATTTTCAATCTGCTCTGTATCCCCTCCTCCTCCTTATCATCCACCTCCTTCTCCTCCTCCTCCTTCTCCATCTTCAATCTGCTCTGTATCCTCTCCTCCTTCTTATCATCCAACTCCTTCTTCTCCACCTCCTCCTTCTTCAATCTGCTCTTTATTCCCTCCTCCTTCTTATCATCCACCTCCTTCTTTTCCTCCTCCTCCATCTTCAATCTGCTCTTTATCTCCTTCTCCTTCTTATCATCCACCTCCTCCTTCTCCCCCTCCTCCTCCTTCTCGATTGTTGTTCTTCTTTTCTTTCTCCTCTTCCTTCTTTTTTTCCTTTTCCTCCACCTCCTTCTTTTTTGACAGAGGAGTCCATAATGAAAAAGATTTCTGTCTTTAAGTCTATTAATGTTCTGATATCCGAAGAGCTTTTGTGCAACTAGACAAGTGTATGACTGCATGTAGATAGAATATTTTACTCATATATGTTTGATGACATTCAAATGTTATTTTTAGTGGATATCCATATTTGAGTAGATGCTTATTTTTCATTTTTTAAACAGTATTTTTATTCTATCTCCCATAGATTAACAATAAATAAAATCCATTAATTTTTTAGAAATTGCTTTGTTTACATTTCAGATACAAAACTGAGGATTTATGACTTTTGAAGAAACCTTAACAAGTAAAGTGTGCTTTAAAGACAAAGAGAATCTTGCTTGATTAGAAAGCTCTTTATAGTCAAATGTTCAGAAACCCATCAGATCAAATGACAGTTTCTCCTGCAAACGAGGATGTGGGTTTATTTTATTGAATAAGATTTCTTGAACGTTCAGTCCGGTAGATGAAATAAAATTGCTTCATGTTGAATGTTTATGCTTTTCCTAATTCCTATTTTGATATAGTTGCCCTAATATGATTTTGTCTTTGGTAAACAAGGATTTGACAAGACTAATTGGACATAACAAAAATGAACAATGACAGATATTTTCTTTCTTTATTCCTTTTTTTAGCCATTATGGTCAAGATTTTCTGTTGACTAAAGAAAATTTTAGGTAAAAAAATTCTTTTACTGAACTGATTCCTCTTTCTTTTTTTCTTTTTTTTGAATAAGAAAGTAAGTTAATGATTTTTTTTTCACATGGCAACCTTTCTCATGTGCAAGAAAAAAAATTTATCTAAAGATATTTAATAAACTTAATATGGTAATGGTAATGCAAATATCAGTCGTTTCCTTATAAGGAAACATTCAGCATTCTTTGACTGTGCAGCCAGTGCCACTGTTGATTGAAATTTATAAAATCTTTCTCTTAATACAAATTTTCAGGAAAACATATTTCTAACATTCAGTAACTATTATCGATCTTTCTAGTACTGATAGTTTTCCTTCATAACCTTTTATTTGAAGTACTGTGGAACATCAATGCTTTGATCATATCATTTTTTTTCCATTTGAGTTACATTTGATATCCATTTCAGCTGTTGCTGCTGTTGAAAGTTCTCAAGTGATGTGGCTTCCTTCTCTATAAGATGATCTTTACCAAGATCCACAAGCTTCACTCATTCAAATGCATTTTTAACCATTGATCTTGTATGTTGGTTAAAATTTTATGTATGGTGGTATACAAATGACTGTTTATATATTTCTGAATGAGCTTGGTGTCATGCGTGACATCCACATGACATCTATATGAAACTCACAAAAGTTTCCAGGTTAATGATTTGTTTTTTTGTTTTTTTTCAATTTGCAATGTTGGATAAACTAATCTTTAGCACACCCTATTCTATGTTCATTTTCCTTCTCTCCTATACTAAATTTATTATAACTAATCCATACATCAAGGTATATAAATTGTTTGGTATTTACTTCCTGATATTTTATGATGATTGCCATCACTGCATTAATTCCAATTCCAGATTATAGTTTCAGTTTTGGTAAGATTCATTTTGAATCCTATTTCTTCAAACACATAGATATGGATTTTTTGTTCAAGATCATTTTTCTCCCAGCTAATACCGATGACATCAACATTGCCCTCTGCCCATTATCGATGCATTGGCCCCAAGATGTTAAACAATAGTTTAGCAAAATATTATTTTTAGGGGGAAGTGTATCACAGCTCCAACTTCTGGAGGTTGACCTTCTGGGTCAGATATAAGACATAAGACATAATAAGTTGATTTTGATTAGCTGATCTAGCATGTGAATGATAGATAAAGGTTTTCCAGCAAGTCGAGTCTTAACTCTCAAGCAAAATAGATGTGTTCTGAAACGGCTTCCCAGTGAGGGAGAATGAGACCCACCACACACTGGATAGTTAGTACATGTCAACATTAATAAAATAGTTAAGTTAAAATTCTCTGTTTTGAAGTCCTTTCATCTCTGGACCAAAAACAATAGACAACAAGACCCAGTGCGACTACATCAAGAAAACATCAAGGAAGGTCGATAAGTTTGTCTACCTGGGAAGCGTCGTCAATAAAGATGGGGGGACAGATGAGGCCATCAAGTGCTGAATCAACAAAGCTGGGCACGCTTTCAACACTCCGCGTCCAATCTGAAGATCAACAACCCTCCTCACTTTGCAACAAGATCCGGATCTTCAACACCAACGTCAAGTCAGTCTTACTTTACGGCTCAGAAACCTGGCGGGTAACAAAGACCAACACCCATAAACTTCAGACATTTACCAACCGATGTCTCAGGAACATCCCCAATATCAGATGGCCGGAAGTCATCTCCAACGACCAACTGTGGAACACGACCAAACAAGCCCCAATCGAGATTGACATCAAGAAACAGAAATGTGTCACCAGCCTGGCCCTTGAATCTACAAGGGAAGCGAAAAGTGTGTCAACCAAAACAGACTTGTCACAGAAGTGTTGACGCAGAGATAAAGGCAGCCGGCACGACATGGGCCAAGCTGAAGAAGATCGCCTGGAACCGCGTCCGTTGGAGAGGTGTTGTTGCGGCCATATGTTCCTCAAGGAATCAAAAGAAAGAAAGAAAGAAAGAAAGAAAGAAAGAAAGAAGTGACAAAAAAAGGACAATGTATGGACAGTGAACACGCTCGTTAGTTTTTCTAACTCTTAAAGTTTGAAGTTTATGTTGTTTTTGATTAGCACGCTTTTATATTCGTATGTCTGGCAGTCTGTTGGCCACGTGGAGGCCTGAATTCGCGTACGTGAACGCAATGGAAAATTGTTTTGAAAAAGAAAATCTGAGGGCATTTTTTGATGGGGCATTCACGTTGTGATTTCCTGTGATTTCTGTATACTGTTAATTAGTTGGAATTTTTTGGTGACAATGGATTTGCATGCATTCAAATTTTTAAGTTTAGAATTATTTTGTTAATCGTAATTAACTGACAAATGATTGTTTTTGTCATTTTTGTAACAATGAGTGGAATTCTTTTTTTTTAATTTAAGAGCCGTATGTGTGTCCTTTTGCCTTCATTAGTTGAAGAATTAAGTCGTTAATTGGTGAATTTTTTTAGTTAATCTTTATGGAAAAATTAATTATTTGTGGAAATAAGTAGATTCGGCTTGCATGGTTTCGGATTTCCGAATATGTTTGGGTCTGTGTCTTGGCATCATAGATAGATAGGTTTTTTAGCGAGCCGATACTTAATCGTAAAGCAATTTAGACGTGTTCGCTTTCGTGTCTGAAACGGCTCCCCACTGGATAGTTAGTACACGTCTTTTCTATAATTAGTACAGCCTTTCCTATAAATACTTCCATGGTAATTGTTCCAATGAACTTACCTCTATGATACCAAGATTTTATGAATTTAAGCGCATTACGAGACTGGCGGCAAGATCTCATCATTTTAGAGTTGAAATAGCGAGATGTTACAGTTTTTTTTCCTCGCATTTATCACTTGTGGAATTCATTTCCGGCTTCCTGCTTCTCAATCAAGTTTGATTTTCAAAAATTTAAATGTGATGTCAATTGTTATCTTCTGTCTTAATTATTGTGCTTTTATTGTTTTTAATGTTTTTTTTTTCCTCATATTCTCTAACATTCAGTAACCCCTTGTGTCTTAGTGGCTTTATTGCCTGGCTTGAGTGGGGAGTGATTTAAAAGAAAAGAAATATTTGAGAAATAAATAAAATGTAGAAATACCAAGATGCCAAGGTCGTGTTATTTACACTTTCCAATCCAAAAAGTTTTTTTTTTTTTGAAAAATATAGGTGTCTCTCTTATTCTCACATCACCCTAGACACGCACGCG